AGCTTAGAGTAATGGTGTCTATCCCAACTTACCAATAGAGTTGAAATGCTGATGCTACGTCTTTAGTAATACATCTGCTAGTTGAGTATTGGTGGGTATCTATGGAGTGTATATTAGACTGCTGTCGAGTTTTTCTTTGATAAAATATCTGTTGATCTTAATGTTTTTGGTCCAATCGTGTTGCATAAGATTGTGAACAATGCTTATGACCTACTTGTTATCATAATATAACCACATAGGATTTTTTCACTTAATTCTAAGATATTCCGAAATTCTTTTTATCCATGATGGTTTACATAGTCCTTGTACTATTGCATGAAACTCTGATTCTGCATTTGATCTTTATTTCATAAGATGATTAGGTTGCTTTCAAGGAAGGTACAGTAGCATGTAGTAGATCTTCTGTCGATAATTGACTCTGTGTAATCTGTATCAGTATAGACTTGTAGAAGCAATTTTTTATTCTTCTTGAATATAATTCCTATGTTTGGTGATCCTTTGAAGTATTGCAGTATTTTAATAAGCTGCTTGTAAGTGTACTTTTAGATTGTGCATAAATTGACTTATAATATTTATTGCATAAACGATGTTTGGTCTCATGTAGGATATGTAGATTAATCTCTCAACTAATTTTCTGATACATTTCCTTGTTAGACTGACGTATCTTATCTACCTAGAGTTTGTGATTAGGATCAGTAAGATTGCTAATTGGTTTGCATGCTAGCTTGCCGGTGTCCTTTAACAGATCATGAATATATTTTTGTTGAGAAATAAAAATTTTAAATTTAGAGCAAACAATTACAATTCTCAAAAAATTCTTTAACTTGCCTAGTTCTTTAATTTCGACGTGGTATACGAAAGAAAGAAGGATGATGAGATGTCGATAAGTGAAAACAGGAAAGGATTCAGAATTTCAATCTTGTTGGAGGAAGGTGACGTGAATTGGTTGATGGACTCTCTGGAGGATTTTTACTGGAGGAAGGGTGGGAGAATGTGGGGTAAAAATAGATTAGAGGAAAACCACAAATTGTGGTTTGCCTTAGGAAGAAACAAAAGTCGGTGTTTCTTGGTATTGACGGAAGAGAAAGGCAAGTCGGTCAAACTCTCTTCATTCCAGAAGGGATCGAAGTCGCTAGATGGCGGAATTTGATGCACGTGGTGCTTGAGCTGGTGGAGAGACCAATAGCGAATCTAGACACACCAAAACTAGAGGAAGCGGCGGTGGCTGATTAGGAGGAAGGGAAAAAGGAGATTATGCAAAAGAAAATTGCTTCAGATGCCCTCATCGTTAAGGGGAAATATGGTATGAAGTTGAGAAGTCGTATGTTGTACAGTGTTACACAGAGAAGTTGAGGGGAGTCAGGTTGAGAAGACGAGATCTGGTACAGAGTCGGGTCGGATGGTTTTTGAATTTCAAATTGGGAAAAAATGGGGCAAGGGTTTGTTTGATCAGAAGCAAGATTGGGTAGTCGTTTTGATCTAAGGGAGTCGGATAGGCTAGAGAAAACACGAAATAGGGGTAGAAGTAGAAATGAGCCAAGCATGGGCCGGAAGTACACTTGGGGATAGAAAGGCAAATGGGTTGACATACCTAGACCGAGTAGGATGCCCAAAAGAAGGAAGAGCCCAAGGATCAAATGGGTCTGGAGGCCCGTGGTGAAAAGCCCGGCCCAGATCCTTGACCCAATATCGCAAGAACACTCCAAGGTGTATGTGATGAACGAAGAAGGAGAAGCAACTGAAAGAAAGAAGAAGAGGAAAGAGAAACTGATGCGAATGTGTCAGAAACGGAGGTAATGAATGTGGTTGACGTTGCTGAGGATGCACAGTCTGAGCAGAAGGAAGAGGAGTTTCGGGTGGTTCGTGCGACGGAGGTACCGGAAGAGAGAGAAAGGAGGAATGGTGAGATGGCTAAAGACAAAGAAGGGAGAAGAAGGATGAAATGGCCATAGTGGTGAGAGGGGATGACCAAAAGTAGTTGGTGGTGAGAGAGGAGAGTGACTTCTGACTAGTTGGAAGATTAGATGTATCAGTTGTATCAATTGTTTGTAGAGATTGAAAGGAGAGAAAGGAAAAAAAGATAGGAGAGAGCAATGATATAGAAAAAGGAAGCAAGGAAACTAGCATAACGGAGTTAGAAAGATTGGAAAATATC